AAAAAAAAAAAAAAAAAGAATTGCCTTTACTGTCTGAATCTATCAACATTCTGGTCATGGCCACTAAGTAATCTCAATGAAGTTCCAGACTTTGTCTACATTTCTTCTTTTCTTCTGAGACCTCACCAGAATACCCTTAACACTCCATTCACAGCAATATAGGCTTTATCCAGAGTCCACATCAAAATTGTTTTAGCCTCTACTCATTACCCAGTTCCAAAGCCATGCTTTCAGGTATTTGTTATAGTAGTAGCCCCACTTCTTGGTATTGATTTTCTTTTTTTTTTTTTTTTTTTGAGCTGGAGTCTCACTCTGTCGCCCAGACTGGAGTGCAGTGGCCACTCCCGGCCACCGCAGCCTCAACCTGCTGGACTCCGGCAATCCTTCCGCCTCAGCCTTCCGAGTAGCTGGAATTACAGGCGCGCGATACCATACCCGGCTGATTTTTTGATTTATTGTAGAGATGAGGTCTCGCTGCCCAGGCGGTTCTCAAACCCGCGGGCTCAGGCAATCCACTCACCTCAGCCTCCTAAAGGCGCGGGATTACAGGCTGAGCCACTGCTTTCCTTTTAAATATAAATTTATATAAATATAAATTTATATAAATATAAAGTTGCTCAGGCATTGATTTTCTTAGTCTGTTTTGTGTTGCTATAACAGAGTAGCAGAGACTGAGTAATTGATAAAGAAAAAAGTAATTGATAGAGATTTAATTTTTATAGCTCTGGAGACTGGGAAGTCCAAGGTTGAGGGGCCTACATCTGTCAAGGGCCTTCTTGCTCTGTCATTCTATAGCAGAAGACTGAAGGGCAAGAAAGCATGCACAAACACAAGAAAGGGGGCTAAACTCATCCTTCTGATCAGGTTTCCATTCCCATTGTAATGCCATCAATCTGTTCATGAGGGCATAGCTCTTATGACCTAATCACCTCTTAAAGGTCCTGCCTGTCAGCATTGTTGCATTTGGGATTAAGTTTACAACACACGAACACTGGATACATTGAAACTGTAGCACAGGCTATGTACCCTTAACATATTACAAGTGGAAGAGAGAGAGAGAGATTTTTTTTTTAATTAAGAGAAATAGTCTTGCTTTTTGGCCCAGACAGGAGTGTAGTGGTGTGATCATAGCTCACTGTACCTTCAAATTAATGGGTTCAAGTGATCCTCCCACCTTAGCCTCCCAAGTAGGTAGGTGGAACCATGCCCAACTAATTTTTAAATGTTATGAAGAAATGGGGTCTCACTGTGTTGAGCAGACAGGTCTTGAAGTCCTGACCTCAAGCAAGCCTCCCACCTTGGCCTCCCAAAATGCTGGGATTACAGGCTATGCTACCTAGGCTGGCCTTGAACTCCTCGGCTTAAGCATTCTTCTGCCTCAGTCTCCCAAAGTACTGGGATTGCAGACATGAGCCACCATATCCTGAAAGAAATCTTTTTTTTTTTTTTTTTTTTTTTTGAGTTGGAGTCTCACTCTGTCACCCAGGCTGGTGTGCAATGGCATGACTATGGCTCACTGCAGCCTCAACTTCCTAGGCTCAGGCAGTCCTCTCATCTCAGCCTCCCAAGTAACTGGGACTCCAGGCACACACCACCATGTCACATCTGGCTAATTTTTTGATTTATTGTAGAGACTAGGTCTTGTGAGGTTGCCCAGGCTGGTCTGAAACCCCTGAGCTCCGGCAGTCCTCTCACCTCCGCCTCCCAAAGTGCTGGGATTACAGGCGTGAGCCACTGCGCCTGGCACCCAGCAGGAACTCGATTTCCAATGCAGTCACTAGTACCACACATACCTGTCTGTCAAACATGTTCGCTTGTCTTCCCTAGCTCTGTAAATGGGACCAGTCATTGGCTTTTCAAACTAAAACCTAGGAATAATCTTTGATTTTTCCCTCTCATTACCCTCATTATCCATCAGTGAGTGAGTCCTGTGCACTATACCTTCGTATAAATCCCTAATCACTCCACTTTTTCCAATCGCCACACTGGCTACCTAGTCTAGACCTCCACCATCTCTTACCTAGATAACTGCGGCAGTTTTTTAACAGGTATTTCTCTCCTGCCCCTGCACAGCCCCCTCACCACATAGCAGCCAGGTCAGTCTTTCACATGTGTAAACTATATGCCAGTTCCTTGTTTCAGACCCACTTCTCATTGCGCTTGTACCAGAATCCCCATGCTTTGACCAGGCCTTTGAGGCCCTCAGTGCTCTGGCTTCTGCCAATCTCTCCAGATTATTTCAAAACACTTTCCACTGTGATACCACACTACCATCTTCTGTCTTTCTTTTGGTCTTTCAAAACACCGAGGTCTTCCTTTTCTCTGTCAGAGTCTTTGCATTTGCTGTTCTCCCTACTTGGAATTCTCTTAGTCTTATATGAGATCCCCCATGATCTAATCACCTCTTAAGAGTTCTGCCTGTCAACACTGTTGCACTGGGTATTAAGTTTTCAACACACGAACTTTGGGAACACATCCAAACCATAGCACAGGCTATACACCCCTCACATACTGCAAATGGAGCCCTTGGATCTACAAATCGAGACGCTTCGTCATCCTGCAGTTCATATGCTCTTTCTCAGGAGACCTTCTATGACCAGCATCTCCCCTGTTCTATTACTGTATATAATTACTTCACCATACATGTCACACTTGGGAATTTTCTTGTTTATTTAGTTGCTTGTTCAGTGTCTCTTCCCCCTGCTTCTCAAAGTAAGTTCCTTGAGGACAGGGAGAGAAACCATATATGTCCTGTCTACCATTGTAATTCCAGTGCTCAAAATAATGCCTGGCATATGGAAGGTATTCAGTAAATACTTTTTGAACGGCTGAAGGAGTTAATGAAGGAAATGCTGACTACAGGCACTATAACTGCCACAGGAATTCAGAGTCACAGCTCAGCTGTAGGTAGTCTTCAGTCATGAGACAGTGAAGTATATATGTTCCATATGTGTGTGACTGTCTGGCACCCTCACAGCTCCCCTCATATTGCTTCCTTACTTGCAGAAGATGCTGTGGGTTGCAATACTTTTATTATGTATCATCCATCTTTGTAGGTTTTTATTTTTGCTGGAAACATTTAGCTCATCATTAGCTTTGAGTGTTCCCTTATAACTTTGTTTCATTGGTTTCCAAATGGCGTATTATAAATGTCTTTAAGAGTTGCCACAGTTCTAGAGTCACCATGCACAGTCTGGGTTTTTTGGAATGCACAGTTTTCTGGAACTTCCAAATCCAGAGCTTCATCTAGTCCCAATATAGAGCCACCCATACACAGAGATGCGCATGTCCTGCTTATTTGTTGTCATCAATAACGTATATAGTAATCACTGAAATAGAGAGAAATTGTTTAGTTTTAAATTAAAATTTTGGTGCAGATTGGTACAAGTCCTGAGTATTTGCGAGTGCTGAACTTTATTTGTCTTCAACAACTTTGCATTTGCTGTTCTCTCTACTTGGATTCTGTTACTCTTACATTAGAGCCCCCATGATCTAATCCCCTATTAAGAGTTCCACCTGTCAACACTGTTGCATTGGGTATTAAGTTTTCAGCACACGAACTTTGGGAACACATCCAAACCATAGCACAGGCTATGTACCCTTAACATGCTGTAAATGGAACCCTTGGATCTACAGATTGAGACACTTCCTCATCCTGCGCATCCCAGTTCATATGCTCTTTATCAGGAGACCATCAAGGTCTTGCGAAGTTGCCCAGGCTGGTCTCGAACCCCTGGGCTCAGGCAGTCCTCTCACATCTGCCTCCCAAAGTGCTGGGATTACAGATGTAAGCCACTGTGCATGGCTTTGGTATAGAAAAATTGTTGGCGCAAGTACAATGCATCAAGAGAGCTTTATGGTAATATTCTTTTATGGCTAGAATTGATTACAATGTAGTGACTGACGCTGTCTTGCACTGCCTTTTGTTTTTCATTTATTTCTCTTATTCTAGGCACTTGAAGAGGCTCAGAAAGCTATTCAGCAACTCTTTGGCAAAATCAAAGATATCAAAGACAAAGCAGAAAAATCAGAGCAAATGGTGAGTTTCTACTTCTTCCTAACTTTTTGCACCAAAAGAAGTTAGCTTCTCATCCAGTCAAACTAATTAGTAGGCTTTTTTTCTCCCACCTCTTGCCAGCCCTGTCATCCCCATCTGTAAAACACGCCCCTGTGAGTGCGTTTGGACTGATTCAGGGGGAGCTGTTAGACTGCAGTGACTCACCATCCCTGCTGCGCTACATTTGCAGCTCTGTTTTAAAAAAGGAAAAGTTTTTTTTTTCTCTTTTCCCAAAAATAGTTTCCTAGTCATTTTGGATTCCTTTCTCTAGCATTTGTTTGTATCATGTATTTCTCAAGATAAATGATATGTAGCTTGGTAGCACACTAATAAAAATGGTCCTGGATCTGGGAGGTGGGATGTATCCTGTCCATGATCCATGTGTTCTTCTTCTACAAATTTGTGTCTACCAGTGATGCACTCAGAAGGCCCCCCTGCAGACCAAGAATCCAACATTCACTTATTCCTACTCCATGGAAGGCACTGGGAGGTGCTGTCTCCTGGGTTCAGATTCTGACTAAGTAATGTAATGTCTCTAAATTGTCTCTGAATTTCTTCAACTGTAAAATAAGAATAGTAGCATCTGGCTAGGCCTGGTGGCCCACGCCTGTAATCTCACCACTTTGGGATGCTGAGACAGAAGACTTGCTTGAGCCTAGGAATTTAAGACCAACCTAGGCAACATAATGAGACCTCAACTCTACAAAAAATAAAATAATTAGCTGGAGTGTTGGCACATGCCTGTAGTCCCACCTACTTGGGAGGTTAAGGCAGAAGCATTGCTTGAGCCCAGGAGGTCGAGGCTGAGATGAGTCAGGATTGCCCTAGTGTACTCCAAACTGGGCAACAGAATAAAACTGTGTCTTAAAAAAAAAAAAAGCATCTGCCTCACAGAGTCATTGTGAGAATTAAAGGTATGAAGAACACTGAGCACTGTCCTAGGAATTTGGATTTGTGAATGTACTACATTCAGCACCATCCAGGGGCTGCTGATACATGATGATCAGATGACAACATCAGATGTTCCTTTTGCTAGAGTTTACTGTACTCACTGATATTCCTTCGATGCTGATCTGCTGTTCTGAACTATGTTATCTCTTCTGGCCGAGGGTGTTTGCAGTGACAGTTTGCTCTAAAGTTACAGTTTGCTTTCCTGGACAGTGATTTACTAAGCAGAGGAAGAGGTGAGAGTGAAGGGAGAACTGATATTTGTTGAGCTCTTTCATTGTGCCAAGAGCGGTGCCAGTTCCTTTGTACCAATGCTCCAATTTAGCCCTCACAACAGCCTTATAAGCTAGATTCTGTTATCATATTATTTGTTTGTTTGTTTGTTTTTGAATTGGAGTCTCACTCTGTCACCCAGGCTGGAGTGCAGCGGCAGTTCATGGCCACCGCAGACTCAGCCTGCTGGGTTCAGGCAGTCCTTCTGCTTCAGCCTTCCAAGTAACTGGAACTATAGGCGTGCGCTACCATGCCTGGCTAATTTTTTTATTCATGTATAGATGAAGTCTCGCCATGTTGCCCAGGCTGGTCTTGAACCCCTGGGCTCAGTTAATCCTCTTGCCTCAGCCTCCCAACGTGCTAGGATTAAAGGCATGAGCCACTACACCCTGCTAGGATAGAATCTTGAGATGAAGCAGAGGAGGAGTATTTAGGACTTCATGATGCAAAGAATGAAAAGAGTCATGGATAGCTGTGACTTTGAGTACACTGACTAAAGACCTCTCATGTTAGGATGGACACTAAGGAACCCAGAAAGAGGTGCAGAGATTTTTTGTAGATAATAGGATGATGATCTCAGTGTCAGTAGTGGGTGATCAGATTACAGAACCAGTCTCTTATATCTGGTTTATTATACCACTCCTGATTTTTTTTGCCCCAAATTTAATTATTCAGTAAAGTGATGGTGGGATCTTACCCTTTTTAAAACATAAAATACAATGGAAATAGAGGTAGTTTGGGGGTTATAGAGGGAAGGCAGACTTGCTTGCTGGGGAAGTCCCCATGAAAGAGGTTTTTTACTTGAAAGAGCCAGGTCAGCCTTGTGGGCATGGAATTGAGCTTTGAGGGTCATAATCTTTGTGAGTTCACCCAAGGTGACCAGACTGAAAAAGTGGGTCACATGAACTTAACACACTACCGAGTTTTCCACTTTCATGGGAAGTATATCTATCCAGTGACTAGAATGTTTGTGTCTGGTGTACAGGACACTCCCTTCCTTCTAGGTATCATAGAACCTGGGGAACCAGGTTGCTATTAAGAAAGTCTCTTAGTCAACATGGATTCAGTTTAATGGAAGATTTCACCTATGTGTTAGTGAAGTTGGAGAATTTTTCCAGTTTATCTATTGAGTACGCTTTTCTAGTGACTGAAATATAATCACATTTTTGGAGACAGTTTCTTTTCTCCTGGGCCTGCTGAAACAACACTGTCACAGTTTTCTCCTAGGACTGCCCCCTCATTCCCTGAAGACTGCTCTTCTCCTCTTATGACCTTACATGTTATGTTTATGATACATGGGTTACATTTTAGTCTTCTTGGGATTTGAGAGAAGCCTTTCCTTTGCTGGAGACCCAGGCAATGGACCCTAGTTTCATTAATGAAGACCATCCCAATACAATCAACTGACTGATGTTATCCATTTTGTACTGAACCCAGCAGCTCCAGTGCCAGAAGCATACTTTTCTGACCTTATTCAAGAGAAATGTGCTGTACTTAGCTCATGTATCCTATATGCTCTGTACTAAATTGCGATTTAGTTAATTTCACCTGGGGTGAAAAAATAAAGTTTATTTCATACAACTGAAAGTTTTTTAACCTTGGGTAAAGTCTGAAGAGATGCCAAATTAAATTTAAATGGGCCTATTAAATTTAATTATTTCAAGTTTGCATTATGAGAATGTTCATGCTTTCCCCAAGGGTTAACCTGAGATTTTTCCTTCTTTGTTTGCATTAATTTCTTGTGGAGCTACTTGTAGAAGAATTTGCATCTTTCTTAACCTTCTTCCTTTTTCTCTTGTGGTTTTTTTTTTTTTTTTTTTAGGTGAAAGAGATCACCCGTGATATTAAGCAGTTAGATCATGCCAAACGCCACCTGACCACCTCAATTACAACACTGAATCACCTGCACATGTTGGCAGGCGGCGTTGATTCCCTCGAGTAAGTAATGTCAACTTTCTCTTCTGTGGCCACAGGAAATATATTATGTAAAGAAAATGGTAGGTTTATTCACTTCTCAGCTAGGGCAATTTCACTGTCCTGGCCTACTTTCTTCCAGTTGACTTCAAGTGTTCAGTCACCATTTTTGCTTTGTGCCCTCTGGTTTTCAAAATTAACAAATACCTGAAGCTTTGAAGTAAGGTGCAGGTATGTCTAAAAGGGGCCTGGAAAACCCATGAGAATGACTCTAAGAATATGGACCATTTTCATGTGGCAAATCTATACCATTAAGGCAGCTAAGGGGATTTAGGCCTTTAATCACCCTGCAGCCTCTGCCTTGGCAGGTTTTCCTGCTTGTATTGGGCTGAGTTGCTCAGTCATTGACGAGACCATATGGAAACAGATCCTTCATTTAACATTCAACCTACTTTTTTGTGTTCAGTCCACTTTTTAAGAGTTGCAGATTCCTGTTTGGCTTGTAGAGGGAATGATACATGAGAACATTTAAAACAGCATTTAAAAGATCTGGTTGTTTGCCACAAAGTAGCAATCCAAGGCCTCCTTTACCAGCAAGATTTTGACATTCCCATTCACCTCTGTAGTCTGTCCTAAACTGAGGATTCCTGCTGCCCCAGGGGCCTCAGAGTAATTCCATGTGGATCAGGAAAGAGCATCTTCACAGAAACTGAGAAAATGGTATCCAGAATCTTGGGGGCCTGAGTAGGGAGAATGCATTGGAGGAAAGAGGAAGAGGCAGGCTCATTCCTGATCTCTCCTGGGCATTGTATGAGCCCCAGGGGATCCCCAGTCCATTCTTCTGTGAGCAGTGAAAGCAGTGACCAGGAGGAGATGGGAAGAGCGGTGTCCTGTGTTCCTGCTCAGGTGGTCAGTGTTGTCCACCAAACTGTCAAGCCAGGCAGGGAGCGATGTAATACCTTGGCTTGAACTTGATTCTTTCTTTTTCAGTGCCTCTTAGGGGAAATTACACATTATAAATTTAATTTAAAAGCCCAACCCTAATGAAAAATTAGATCTTATAGTTTGTACTTCCTCTCTTTGTGTAACTGTTGACTTATCAGCATCTTTTTATTTAAGCTTTATTATCTTCAACAGGAAAGTAGACATCTCTGACACAGAATTACTTACCATTGTCCTAAAGCCTACAGATCTGAGTTAACATGTAAATGCATATAAATTCCCTTTGTTTTATCCTAGAAAGATGTGTTTGGTTTGCTTGTATGCTAAATCCTCAGAGAGTAACAACCCCTGTTCCTCTGTCAAAATTCTGCTAATCTCATAATACCCAACCCAAATCCCACATCAATAAAGTCTTCCCAGGTTCTCCTCTCTCCACCCAGTGGGAATTCATTACTCACACATTCGTTTGTACCTCCCACCCATAGCACATAAAACTTGTACTTCTATTTAGAACATAGTTCATCCTCCTTGGTATTAGTTAGATGTGTACTTGACTCTTGCCCTTACTAAATGATGTCAACAGGTCTTATTTTTTTTTCCCCTCTGTGCTCAGTCAATGTTTATTGAATTGAGTTGATGTCTGTTTTAGAGCTAGATTGTTCCACATCTGTATCTTGTATCCTTAGTGTTTTTCTAGAGTTTTCAACTTCTTATTTCCTTGCAGAGCCATGACCCGGCGAAGACAGTATGGAGAAGTTGCTAATCTCCTTCAAGGTGTAATGAATGTTCTAGAGCACTTCCACAAGTACATGGGAATTCCACAGATCCGGCAGCTGTCTGAAAGGTAACATGTCATTGGAGAACATTTTCTTCCCATAAGAAAAGATGGTGCTAAAAAGTGCCTAAGCACTTAGCTCAGCATGTTCATTGTGGACTCTTAAGGAAGGAAGGAACATAAGATGTTATCTGATCTAATTCTGTCTGGGGCAGGTGTCCCCTCTACAATACCCCTTACCACATCTTCTAAAGCTGTCTGTGTTAGATAGTTGCAGTTGTATACATGAGAGTTGTCCACATTTGTGAGGAAAACTGTTCTAGTTATCTGTTTCCTTGTAACAAACTACCACAAAACTTAGTCACTTAAAACTTTATGATTTTGCTTCTATTAATTGGTCTGGCTCAGCTCATCTCTGCTCCATGCAGCATCAGCTAAGGTAACTCAAAAGGGAACTGGAAGATCCATTGGTTTACTGTCATGGCCAGTAAGTTGGGTGTCACTGGGAGCTCAGCCAGTCTGTGGGCTGGGATTCTTTGTTGTCATCCATGGACCACTTGGACTTGCCCATGGTAAGGTGGCTGGGTTCTAACAAAGAGCATCTCAAGAGAACTGGGCCTTGGAAATCACATAGCATCACTTCTGCTGTAGTCACATGGCTGCTAAGATTCAAGAGGAAGGAATATGTCTTCTCCTATCCCTCTAATGGGAGGAATGTCAAAGTCACATTGGTAAGAAGAGCATGTGGGATGGGCTATATTGCTGTGGCAATCTTTGGAAAATAGAGTGTACCACTAGAACTTCCAGTGTGACAAAAACATGAGTTTCTCCCTAACCTTATGCCTTCCTTCCTACTACTGTTGAGCATTAATCACAAATTCACATCCAAGGGAAAGAAAGGCAGACACTTAGAGAGAAAGGAGATGAGGATTCTAAAGGAGGATAAGGGGTGGTCAATTCAATGTCTTTTCTATTAGAAATAGTGGCATGAATACTGAGAAGGCAGAGACAATCATGATTGATACCTCCTAACCTTTGCACCAAACAAGAAATGATACTTAGTAGCAGCTATCATTTTCAACTCTGCTTTCTTTTTTTTTTTTTTGAGTTGGAATCTCACTCTGTCACCCAGGCTGGAGGTCAGTGGCATGCTCCCGGCCACCGCAGCCTCAACCTGCTGGGCTCAGGTGATCCTTTTTTTTTTTTCGGTTGAAGTCCCACTCTGTCACCCAGACTGGAGTGCAGTGGCCGCTCCTGGCCACTGCAGCCTCAACCAGCTGGGCTTCCGGCGATCGTTACACCTCAGCCTTCCAAGTAGCTGGAACTACAGGCATGCGCTACCACGCCCAGCTAATATTTGATTTATTGTAGAGATGAGGTCTTGCCAAGTTGCCCAGGCGGGTCTCGAACCTGCGGGCTTAGGCAATCCACTTACCTCAGCCTCCCAAAGTGCTGGGATTACAGGCTGAGCCACTGAGCCCGGTTTTCTCAGGTGATCCTTCTACCTCAGCCTTCCAAGTAGCTGGAACCACAGGCACGTGCCACCGTGCCCAGCTAATTTTTGATTTATTGTAGTGATGAGGTCTTGCCAAGTTGTCTGGGCTGGTCTTGAACCCATAGGCTTAGGCAGTCCTCTCACCTTGACCTTCCAAAGTGCTGGGATTATGGCCATGAGCCACCACACCTGGCCTGACTCTGCATTCTTTTTTTTTTTGAGTTGGAGTCTTACTCTGTCGCCCAGACTGGAGTGCAGTGGCC